GTACATACTAGGTATCTGAAAACTATTTTCCTCCCCTCTCTTCTTTTTGGCAGAGTTTGTGCTAGGGGCTATTAGAAATAAAAACACAAATATGACCCAGAACCTGCCCTTGGGATGCCTGACTGTACAAAGGAGAAATGTAATTGGTGCTCCACAGAGGGTCAAGTGAGTCGCTCAGTGGAGCACAGAGGAGGCAGGGATTGATTCTGTGTTGGGCAACTGAAAAAGCCATGAAGCAGGAAGTGGCTTTTGAGAAAGAACTTCATGAATCGGCAGGATTTCTCCATTTCTTTTCCCTTCCTTTATCTTTCATTTTCCTTTCTTCTTAAGCACATATTGACCCAGAATTAAAAATGTCCAGAGGCAGAGAAGGCTTAAAACACAGTTAAGACTCTCTGGTCTTGTCGTCCTGGCTCTCCTTCTTGTGTTGGCTTTGTCCTCAGGTGCATGGATACTAGAGAGCAACTCACAGCATCTCCTGTAAACTCAATTTTCAGAAAACTGCCACAGGTGCAAACAAATGCTTGCACACTGTTATAGGGGTTCACAGACTCTGGACCCCCTCCGTCAGTCCCAAACTTAACACTCCAAATGAAAAAAATAACCTGTGTGTAGATGAGGCGATGGCCATGGTACTCCTTCCCCCCCTTTTTTTTTTAATTTTTTTTTTTTTTTTTGGGGGGGGGGTGCAGAGAGAGAGAGAATCCCAAGCAGGAGAGGGAGAGAGAGAGAATCCTTTGTCGGGCTCTGCACTGTCAGTCGAACTCACGAACCGTGAGATCATGACCTGAGCCGAAATCAAGAGTCACTTAACCTACTGAACCACCCAGGCACCCCTCTTCCCCTTTTTTTGAAGTTAATTTAAAAGGGGCCTTCTCAGTTGAAATTGGGGTGAGCTATCCTGATTCCTTTCTTAAACAGTGGAGCTCTGGAGTCAAACTTGCCTGGGCAGGGAGAGCAGGATTTTAACAGTGATGAGAGAGGAAGCAGGTTCAGGCTGATGAAACAGCCTGAGCACAGAAAGGCTCTGTGACAGACAAGCTTAGGAATGTTTGGGGAAGGTGAATAGACAGGTCTGACTGTGGAGAGGTTCTATCAGGGAAAGTCCTGGTGACAGTGTACAGCTTGAGGGGTAAGAATAGGGCTGCCTTCACTTTCAGGCAGTGGAATCACCGAACTGTGTTATATAGCATTTATCACAGTTGTAATTTGACACGTGTGTGATTATTTGATTACTGTTTGCCTTCTCCACTCGTCTGTCAGGTCCAATGAGCACAGGCACTGTGTCTCTTTCTGCTCACCTCTGTTGTCCGATACTGACTGATGGCCTACTACATAACAGATGTTCAGTACACATTCTGGAAATTAACAGGTGGATGAATGGGGGAATGAATGGTGTCTGGCTGGGGAGGGACACTCTGGATCAATGTTTCTAACAAATGTGAGCTCCAGTACTTGGTTTGATTCTCCTTCACGGTTTCCTTCTTTGCTTATTAGTAGTCATGAAGCAGGGGTAGGAATTGGCACCTTGTGGGTCAAGCTTTCCTCCAGGCAGATCAGATTACTGGAGCTCTTGTTGGTGAATTATGCAAATCATGGTTGGCATCTGCCAAGCCCTTGTCCTGTACACACACTGCTCGACCTGAGGAAGCTTGAAGTTGTCTTAAAACATGCATTTTTGGAATTAGATAAGACTGCTTCAGATTTTAGCTCTACCTCTTATTAGCTATAACTGTTTGAGGAAATCACTTCTCTGGATCTCCTTTCCTCATCTATAAACCAGGAAAGATAATAAACATCTACTTTATAGTATTGTGAGGATTAAATTAGCTCAGTAATATAAAGGGGCTGGCACATCATAGGTGTTCTTTGTTTTATTTTTTACATTTTATTTTCTCATTGTGTCCTTGAAAATTGCAAGGAGTATTTCTTTTCTTTTCTTTTTTCTGATTTTAAAAGCAACTTCATGCTCAGTGTAGAACATTTGTTCTAAACAGCAAAGTCTAAAAGAAAAATTAGCAACTGCATTTGAGATAAACACGATTCGCGTTTTGATGTGTTACCTTCAAGTGTTTTTGCCATTCATGAGAGACTTTATTGTAAAACAGATAATTCTGTCACATGGTGGACAATGCAAGGGAGGACATAAAGGTAAACAATGAGAAGTAAGCCTTCCTCTGTACCCAGACCCCAGCCACCAGTTCCCCTCCTCAGAGACAACCACTGTTACCAGGTTCTTAGGTGGCCTCCTAGAGACAGTTTACATATTTAGAAAATCTGTTTTATTTTCATACCATCTTCTTCTTATGCAAACACTGGAATAGTGTATGTGCTATTTACACTAGAGGCTGTCACAAAAGTGAGTTCCCTTTTAGCGCTCATAGATATCTCTGTGGGCAGGGCCACATACGGCTCTGGTGACAGGTTCTGAGGGCTCAACAAGGTTTGGTCTCAGATGTATATTTTTACTCTTTGAACTGAAAATCTGCAGACAACTCAACAGGTGTTAGAGTTCTCAGTCTCAACCGTTTCTACAGTTGCTCATGCGAGGAGTAGATCTGCAGGCCATGGCTGGAGCCAGCTGACAGGGCAGTCTGAGGTAGAATTAAAGCTACTCCAACATTTCATTGACCCTCAGTCAATTTTCTTAAAGTTTATTTATTGATTTTGAGAGAGAGAAAGCGGGGGGGGGGCGGGGGGAAGAGGGGCAAAGAGAGAGAGAGAGAGAGAGAGAGAGAGAGAGAGAGAGAGAGAATCCCAAGCAGGCTTCATGCTGTCAGTACAGAGCCTGATGCAGGGCTCGATCTCACAAATCTGTGAGATCATGACCTGAGCCAAAATCAAGAGTTGGACACTTACCCAGCTGAGCCACCCAGGTGCCCCTGACCCTCGGTCAATGTTTTCTAAACTGACAATTGGAACGAGAGTTCTGACGTGGAAAGGTAATATGTTGCAATTGGGATTGATCCAAAAATCAGGGATGTGTGCCCCCTAGAATGCACTGGACTGAAGACCAAAGCCCAATCATTCTAAGACCAGTCCTGCCCCTGCCCCCACCCTTCAGGCCCCACAACTCTGCTACCCTCAGCTCCTGTCACTGGAGCTCTTCTCTGCAGGCTACATCCGTCCCAGTGCACGTCTGTCCCATTCATACTGTCACTGGGCCCTGCCTTCAAATTGGCCCTCCCTGCCAGGTCCTCTCCACTCAGCCTCCCTCTTTCCCTCCTGTTAATTCATCAACACAAGAACACTGAGACCTTGACTCTCCGTGGAGCCCAGTGGATATGGAGTGGGGATAGGAAGTTGGATGTGTTCAAAGCTAAGCTCCAGAGAACAGTAAGAATGGACTGATACATTTGAATATCGTACACTTGAAACTAATGTAACACTATATGTTAATTATATTGGAATTAAAATTAAAAATGAAAAAAAGAATGAACTGATGCATTTGAGACACCTCATCTGGAAAATGAATATTAAGTAATATAATGGATATGGCAGTGCTTTGTAAAGTGTTAAGTGCTATATAAACATAAGGGACTCATATTTTTTTAAAGTTTTTTTAATTTATCTTGAGAGAGAGAGATAGAGAGTGAGCAGGGGAGGGGAAGAGAGAGGGAGACACAGAATCTGAAGCAGGCTCCAGGCTCCACACTATCAGCACAGAGCCTGACGTGGGGCTCGAACTCACAAACAGTGAGATCATTTCCTGAGTTGAAACCAAGAAGGGACTCATATTTTTATGAGGATGATGATCATTTAAAACTAAGACACGTAAACCAACGATTTTACAAATGAACTTTTAAATTACAGAAGTGCTACTTCATTTTAGAGGATTTATAAAGTATGTAAAAAAAAAAGGAAGAGAAATTCTCAGAGTCTTATTAGAGAGTGTAGTATCTTGTATTATTTATACAGTATATTCCCTTTCTATCCTTATGGGACTGTTTCTGTGGGAGGATTATTTTTTCCTTGACAACAGATTTTGCCATGTGACTTACTCTGGCTGGTTAGGTGTGAGTGGAAATGGCATGTGCAACTTCTGAGCTAAAACTTAAGAGCCTTTCGGTAGCTCTGCTGTCTTTTTTCTCCTTCTGTCATAACACTGGCATATATCTCAGTCAAGGGCTTTTCAGTCATCTTGGAATGAAGACCCCTGTAGGACATATAATGTGAGTGAGAGATAATCATTTATTCTTGTCAGCATCTGAGATTTGGGGGTTGTTTGTTACTGTAGCAAAAATTATCCTAAGATACCTGATATCCTGAGATATCATACCTGTTAATATTTTGATGTACACACTTCAGCCTTTATTTTTATGCCTGTGTCCCATATTTTCAATAAAAAGTGGATTATAACATACCTATGGTTTTGTGAAGTGCTTTTCTCACTTCTGCAAATGTTTTAGTATATATTTCTAAAAGACAAGGATTCTTCTTTAACCATAATCACAATACCATTACCACACTTAAAATGAATAATAATCTGAATTAAGGATCCAAATAAAGTCCATACTTTGCACTAGCTTGATGTGTCTCTTACATCTCTGTGCGTTTTCAGGTTCCTCCTCTCCGTCTCTCTCTCTCAGCCTTGTGATGTATTTGTTGAAGAAATTGAACTGGCTGTTCTGTAAAGTTTCTCACAGTCTGGATTTTGCTGATGGTATATTCCCATGGCATCATTTAACATGTTCCTCTTTCTGCTGTATTTCCTGTAAATTGCTGATTAAATCTAGAAGCTTGATCAGGTTCAGTGAACAGATTTTTAAACTCAGTACATTATGAACATTTTCTATGTCATTTAATTTTCTTGTACATACTTTATTAATGACTACGGGGCTGTTGAAAACAAGAATGTACTATCATTTCTTTAGCTATAGTCCCCTATTGTCAGTCATTGGGATTGTTCTAATTTTTTGTTGCTACACACAACTCCCTGATAAACCTCCTTGGGGACTAACGGTTTTCTGGCCTGATTTGCCTCCCTTCTGTTCTCTTAGTTCCTGCGGATGGTGGATGCCTGTGCTAGCTTCCTAACAGAAGCCTTGAATCCAGAAAACTGTGTTGGAATACTGAGGCTGGCAGATACACACTCCTTGGACAGCCTGAAAAAGCAGGTGCAAAATTACATCATCCAAAACTTTGTGCAGATTCTGAACTCTGAGGAGTTCCTAGAACTTCCCGTGGACACTCTGTACCACATCTTGAAGAGTGATGAGCTGTATGTAACAGAGGAGGCTCAGGTGTTTGAGACTGTGATGAGTTGGGTCCGGCACAAACAGGCAGAACGACTCTGCTTGCTCCCCTACCTCCTTGAGAATGTGCGCTTGCCACTGCTGGACCCGTGGTACTTTGTGGAGACGGTGGAGGCAGATCCTCTCATCAGACAGTGCCCGGAGGTCTTCCCGCTGCTTCAGGAAGCCAGGATGTACCACCTTTCAGGCAATGAGGTGAGCTGACGATGAGCAACACTAGCTAACCAGTGAGGTAAAGGAGTCTGCGGGCCTCACAGAAATATAGGTGAGGCTGGCTTACAGAACCTTACTTCATGGTGAAGACAATTGCCACACCGTCTACGGTTTGAGTCAGGCAGTTCCAGATGCCCTGGATTTCTGATCTGTGAAATGGGGATGATACCACATCATAAACAGCTACTGAGAGGATTGAGTGAGATAGGAAATTGCTCAGCACCGTGCCCAGCACATCCTTCCTCTTCCCAGGGCTTAAGGGTAGAGGTTGGTGGGGGTGACGTACACAGGACAGAATGCGCCCTGTTCAGTCACCATTCCACAGGAGCACAGCTTTCCTAGTTTGCCCGCTCTGGGAACTGCGAGTCTCTTGGATATCCTGTGAATGTTACCTTGGTTCAGACTGTCGTTGTTTCCTTTCCGAATTTCCAAAAATTCCTCAAAACTCACCTTCCTGCCCTCAGTCTAGCCTCCCTCCAATTCATTCACCAGCTGGATAATCTAAAACTCAAGCCTCATCATTGTGTTCTTGGGCTTACCCTCTTCGTGGCTCCCCGTGACTCCCAGGATCAAGCCCACACACTTCCTGCCTGAGCTCCTGTTGCAGGGAGTATGGCCGGAGTCGCAAAAGAGGAGTCCGAAAACAAAATGCAGTTAAGTGAAGTTCCCCATACTCGAGTCGGAATGAGGCCCCGACTCCAGAATGAAGCTTCTTTTTATTAGGATAATTGCTAAAGACTACGTGCATAAAGTCAGCTAAGTAAGTGTGTTAATCAGGCTAATGGTTTAGCTTTTTTCAAGGTTGAATTTTGAGTTAATTGGTTTCTATACCACTAGGAAGGGTCAGGTGTGAAGGACGATCTGGCCCTGGACAAATGGCTCTAGGTGTTCCTTAGGAGCCGCAGCCGCATTCAGCTGTGTAAACGTGTTCTAAGCCCTTGCACCTTCTCCAGCCCTTCCCTTTTGAAGTCTCCTCCTTTGAGCCTTCCCTCCTGCATCTCCCACATCTCCCAGAGCCTGGCCCTACACTCTTCACCTCCTGCCCACTTCTCTGGCTCCATCTCCAACCTCTCCCTTCTGCTACACGCTAATGCTCTGCTTGCAATTCCCCAAAGTGGACGTGCCTTTTCACCCTCTATTGCAGGAGAATGAGGTGCTGTTCAAATGCCTTTTCCTCTCTCCATCTAATTAACTTTACTCTGGCTTCAAAAAGTTAAAGCATCACCTTCTTCAGAGACCTCTCCTCATAGTCCCTGGTGCATTGCTCTATCGTAGCACCAACCACTGCGTGGTAACCATTGTGTTCCTCATCTGTAAATGTCTCTATACTGGGAGCTTGTAATGGTAGGAAATATATCTTATGGGACTTTTCATCTCCAGACCTTAGGAGAATCCCTGGTGTAGAGTAAGTGATTGGTAAATGTTTGTTGAATGAAGAAATGAGTACCAAGATGATGAATACATGTATCATTTGGATGTTCCTGGTTCTGCTTAACAAATTTCTGAAGAAATGTTTTATTCAAATCTTTATAAAGACAAAAATAGGCTTAATGGAGAGGAACAAAACTATCCGGAAATAATACTATAGGGATAGTGTATTTAAAATTTTTTTTTTCAACGTTTATTTATTTTTGGGACAGAGAGAGACAGAGCATGAACGGGGGAGGGGCAGAGAGAGAGGGAGACACAGAATCGGAAACAGGCTCCAGGCTCCGAGCCATCAGCCCAGAGCCTGACGCGGGGCTCGAACTCACGGACTGCGAGATCGTGACCTGGCTGAAGTCGGACGCTTAACCGACTGCGCCACCCAGGCGCCCCGGGATAGTGTATTTAAAGCTTATACACATGAACACACACACACACACACACACACACACATATATATATATATATATATATATATATATATATATACCACTGTCCAGTAGATCTGGGATAGGCTACCAAAACTTCATTAGGCCATTGATAGAAATCCTAGCCACAGGTGGTTTAGAAATTGTCTTTCTGAGGCCCCTAGGAGCCTCCTTCTTTTCCTGTGTGTCCTCTTCTCATTCTTTGTTGCCCTCAGATCTGCTGTCATTGGTTCACTCTGCGAATATATCCTTAAATGTTTGGCAGAATTTACCAGTGATACTATCAGAACCAGGAGTTTTCTTTGTGAGGTTTTTAGCTATAAACTGTATTTCTTTAGTAGATATAGGGTTATCTATTTCTTCCAGAATGAGCTTTGGTAGTTTGTGTCTTTCAAAGAAGTTGTGGAATTTATTGCCATAAAGTTGCTCACGGTATTCCTTTATTATCCTTCTAATAACTATAGAATCCATAATGCTGTCACATCTCTCATTCTAGATATTGGTAATTTGTGTCTCCTCTTTTTTTTTTTCCCCCTGATCAGTCTGGTTAGAGGCTTATCAATTTTATCAAAGAAACAGCTTCTGGTTTCAATTGTTTTTATAGTTTATTTCACTTATTTGTACTCCGATCTTGATTATTTTCTTTCTCTGCTTGCTTTGGGTTTGATTTTCTTGATTAAAAAAAATTTTTTTTAATGTTTATTTATTTTTGAGACAGAGACAGAGTGTGAGTGGGGGAGGGGCAGAGAGAGACACACACACAGAGATCTGAAGCAGGGTCCAGGCTCTGAGCTGTCAGCACAGAGCCCGACGTGGGGCTTGAACCCATGAACCATGAGATCACGGCTTGAGCTGAAATCTGGCACTTAACCTACTGAGCCACCCAGGCACCCCTAATTTTCTTTGATTTTTTTTTTTAAGTGGGAGCTGAAGTCATTGATTTGAGAACTTTCTTTTTCTTTTTCTAGTATTGCCAGCAGTGCTATAAATTTCCCCCTAAGTACCACTTTAACAGCATCCCATATATTTTAATAACCTTTATATGTATGTATGTATGTTTGTATGTATGTATATATTTAGTTATTGCAAATAAGTCCTAAACACCAGCTATTTGCCAGATATGGCCCTGGGCACTACAAAAACAGTTTCTGCCTTATGAAATTGATGGTCTATCAGAGAAGCCAAGACAGTAAGCAGATGAACAGTGATGAGTACACAGAGGTAGGAGTCTAGGCAACCATATGGGCCCTGCCCTATGCTGGATATGTGGGTCACTGGCAGATGGCTCAGCACCGAGCATTAAAGCTCTCATAAAATTGCAGACTGTGTCAGTCTCTGCAGCTGCTCTCAGTTCAGGGTCTTGATCAACTACACTTCCAGTATTCTAGCTATTTTTATTTCTGCTTCCTGTTTCCTAAGTCCCTGAAATGCAGGTGATAAAGGTTTTCCTCTTCTATAAAATATCTGTACTATGCCTTCTGCAAAATTGCTGCTCTGAAATATGTGCTCTCACTTCGGTGTTTGCAGCGTGGGGGAGAGTGGGAGACAGAAGTCTTCTATCTGGAAGAGTTTCCAGTGGCAGGAACTTGGGCTTGCGTTTAGGTAGATCTGAGTTTTAATCTTGACTGTACAATTTACTGACAGTGTGACCTTGGGTAAGCTACTTAGCTGCTTTAAAGCTCTGTCCTGCCCTGTAACGTGGAGATAATGATGTCTACCAACTGATACCAGTTGTTCTGAGAATTAAGTAAGGTAATGAACGTGATGTGGTTAGCAGTGTCTGGCTCATGGTGTAAGACCCCACAAATGAAGACTCTTCTTGTTCTTCTGCAGTTCCTTTATGGTGCTCTGTCTCCCACAACCAAGCATTTTCCTTCTCTGAAGCTAACATTTCTCTTTTCACTGTGTCCTAGGGTTGCTGATTTATTGTCCTAAACCCTCCCCAGGGCACTTTCTCATTCCCATGTTACAGTCTTGGTAGCTGAACCAGCCAAACACAGTGATCTTCGAATCAGGGTCTCATTGCCAGTTGATTCCCTGAAACTCCCTGTCTGTTTGCTGCCTGAATGATCTTGGGTTTACTCCTCAGAAGAGTAGTGAAAGCCTGGAGGCTAGTCTCTGAACACACTTCTCCCCTTAACCTTCCTTTTCCAAACTTGAACCCTTCTTGCCCTATCATTATCTCTCCCTTTTAACCTTGTTCCTCCCCTAAGCTCGTGGAGGTGGCAGCGGTGGGATATTTTAGAACCCTAAAAGCAGATGTCAATCCACATTTGATTTAGGGGTGGTAGCCAGTACCTTCACTGAGAGAAGTCTTTTGGGGCAGAGAAAGTTTCTCCTGTATTTAATTACCTCCTAAATTTCCTGCGACCACCTTGATCTGTACCAAAGACTGCTCTGACATGTGTGGTGTCATTCATTCCTGAGGACAGAGGGGGCAAAGGCTCAGCCTTGAGGACAGCTTTGTTGAAGCAATATGATCACTTCTGTTGGTCCTCTAGTACAGGCCCTGTTAATGAGTAGTCAGTAAGGTGAAACTGCCTGTTCTATTGAAAAAAATTTTTTAATGTTTATTTTTTGAGGGAGGGAGGGAGAGAGAGAGGGAGAGAGAGAACAGGGGGGAGGGGCAAGGAGAGAGAGGGAGACACAGAGTCTGAAGCAGGCTCCAGGCTCTGAGCTGTCAGCAAAGAGCTCAACATGGGGCTCGAACTCACTGGCTGTGGGATCATGACCTGAGCCGAAGTCGGACGCTTAAGGGACAGAGACACCCAAGTTGCCCCTGCCTGTTCTGTTTTTAACAATCTGAAAATAAACTGGTTAGGCCTGATTGTTGCATGCGATTCTTTGGCAAACACTTCTGTGTATCTGCAACAAAGTTGCACGTCTCTGACTTCAGACAGGCACGTCTCATGCCTTTGGAGTTAATATTTTGCCAAATGTAGCTGTGTTTACAGTTTGATAATTAGTGCCACCACTGAGGAGTCCTGCGGTGCCAAGTGATAAGGCAGGTCTTAATACCCAGCAATTCCATCAACTAGATGCCTGTATTAGTTTTCTATTGCGGTGCAACAAATTATCCAAAACTTTACAGTTTAAGACAACAAACATTTATTATCTCACAGCTGGCAGGAATCTAGGCTTAGTGGTTTAGTTGGGTGGTTCTGGTTCATAGTCTCTTATGAAGTTGTAGTCAAGCCATTAGCTGGGGCTGCGGTCATCTCAATGCTCAAGAGGGTTTGGAGGATCAACTTCCAAGCTCATGCATAGGATTGTTGAGAGGTGTCTGTTCCTTGCTGGCTATTGGCTAGAAGCCTCAGTTTCTGCCAGATGGGCTTCTCCATAGCAGCTGGCTTTCCCCAGAGCAAATGGCCCCAGAAAAACTGAGAGAGCAATCAAGATTAAAGCTATAGTGCTTTTGATAACCTAGTTTCAGCAGAGATATACCATCACCTTTGCTGTATTCTGTTGGCCCAGGGACCAACCTTCGAATACTGTGGGGAGAACAACATAAAATGTAAATATCCTGAGGTGGGGATTGCCGGGTACCACTGAGGAAGCTGTTTACAACAGTGATCTAGACTGGAAAAAAATATCTGTATCAGGTCCTGAGTTACCTAGCTCTCCTATTCATTCATTCATTCATTCATTCATTCATTCATTCACTCATTCAACAAAGGTTTATAGAAACTCACAACCTCCAAGCACTGTTCTTGATGCTGAGAATCCATTGAAGAATAAGGGCTGTTCCTGCCCTCAGGGATCTTCTAGTAAATTACAAAGAAGTATGCAAAGTGCTGTGATGGGGAAATTCAGGACTGTGGGAACATGTGTGGAAAGTCAGGAGGCACCTGGATGGCTCAGTCAGTTAAGTGTCTGATTCTTGGTTTCAGCTCAGGTCATGATCTCATGGTTTCATGAGTTCAAGCCCTGCATGGGGCTCTGTGCCAACAGTGTAGAGCCTTCTTGGGATTGTCTCCTCCCTCTCTCTCTGCCCCTCCCCCACTTGTGCGCGCGTGTGCGCGCACGCTCGCGCTCTCTCTCTCTCTCTCTCTCGTGCACCTGGGTGGCTCAGTCGGTTAAGCATTTGACTTCGGCTCAGGCCATGATATCCAGGTTTGTGAGTTCAAGCCCCGCATTGGGTTTTGTGCTGACAGCTCAGAGCCTGGAGCCTGCTTCGGATTCTGTGTCTCCCTCTCTCTGTGTTCCTCCCCTGCTCCCATTCTCTCTCTGTCTCTCAAAAATAAATAAAGATAAAAAAAAAAAAAAAAGAAAGTCAAGAATAGGCTCTTGGAGGAAAGGACCATGGGACATTACAAATAGTGCCAATGACTTAAAAGGTAAGTGGGTGGGGAAGTGGTGTGGGAAATCAAGGACAGATATTAGGTGGGGATCCAGATAGCAGGCAGAAATGCAGGGGTTTTAGTCAATTGGAGCAGAGTCTTACATAGCCCAGGACTCAGGAATGGGGTACCAGTCTGGGAATCAGGAGTAAGATCACAGTCCAGCCCCCTACTGACCAGCAAGCTATTGAGGCAGGAAAGCAGTCACTGTGAAGAAGATAGGGGGCTTTGGAGGGAGGCTGAGGCATGGCTCTCAGAGCTGGAATAAAGGTCACGTGGGGACCAGTTCTGGGAGGAACCCATTGCTGTCCTCTAAGCATTGCCCTACAATCCCTAATCCTCTTGAGAGGTTGTGCTGTGAACCAGGGTAGATAGTTGGAAAGAAAATCACAGAGTGGCAAAAACTGTCTTTGGTGCTCATCTCTCAGCTCCTGTCCTGCCAGCTTGGTATTCTCATAGTGCCTCCAAGTTCCCAGGACCACCCCTCCCACCTTTATCTCAGTTGTCTTTTCCACTGTCAATGCCCTCAGGTTCTGCCCATTGCCTCACACATCCTTACTTTCTGCTGGCTCCCAGAAGAGAGTCCTGCCACAGACTTTATGGCCATGAATTGAGGATGCAAAATTTACTGTATCTGACTCTTTGGTTCAAAAAAACGAAGTCTGTGATGGACAAGTAGAGGTTGGATTTGGCTGGCCTGATTACTTGTGACCATTGATTGGATTCACCACTTAGGGTGCAGTTTTTGCTACTGTAACTTGTTTGTTGCATCTGTGGTCAAGACTGAAGCTTCATAGTCTATGTTAGGTCAGCTTGACCTTGCAGGAAAAAGCCGCTTTGGTCATCTGGGAAATGGGTGCTGCCTCTCTGTCTCCCATCAACCCACCTGCAGAACCTTCCCCACTGAGCCCAAGGGACAGATGGAACCAGGAGGAGGGAAGCTGTCCCCTTTCCCTAAGAATGCCGATATGACATCTCCAGCTTCTCCTACCATCATGACTACCTGTTAAGGGCTGTGCATGTGCCAGGTGCTCTGCTCATCCCTCTACATCATGACTTCATGAGTGCTCACAATGACCTCATGGCACAGAAGTGATGACAGGCATTTGCAGAGATTGTGTTGCTTCTCCAAGGTCACACGGCCATACGTGATGAAACCAGGACCAAACTCTGGTGTGTTTGATTTACAAACCTCTGTTCTTTAAGCTGGGTTCAGATATCTGTGGTGTGGGTGTATTTGCTTGTTCAAGGCTCTGAAGGGTCATATCTTTGGTGTTGGAACCCAGTCCTCCAACCTCCCCGGCCACACCGTGCTCCCTTTTGGTTTTTCCTTCCTAAGTCTCTAAGTGCTCTTAGGTGCCTACTATCAGGACTTCTCTTTCAGAAGAGGTCGGGTGGTGAGCAAAGTCTGGGATATCATCAAGAAATTGAAACCAGGAGAGAGTGGAAGGTGGCCAAAAATGAAATTTCCGGATTCAAGCCCTGGTGAGGCAAGAAGTGCATTTGATGGTAAATGGACCTGGATTTCTTAAGAAAGCAGCAAAAGCAACAATAGGTAGCCTTTGTTGAGTGCCTGTTATACACCAGGCCCCTTTCAGGCCAAGCACACCATGTATATGATACCATTTAATCCTCACAACAAACCTATGAGGTAGTTACCACTAAAATTCCCATTACACAGATGATGAAACTGAGGCTCAAGGAGGTGAGGTCACCTGGTCATATGGTGGCAGAGTTGGGAATTGGTCTCTTCTCTGTCTGGCTCCATAGCCTAGTCTCTGAACCTCTGTGTCATCCTGCCTTTATGTACTCCCGTTGGTTTTCCAGATCATTTCCGAGCGCACCAAGCCCAGGATGCATGAGTTTCAGTCTGAGGTATTCATGATCATTGGTGGCTGCACAAAGGATGAACGTTTTGTGGCGGAGGTAACCTGCCTGGACCCCCTGAGGCGCAGCCGCCTGGAGGTGGCCAAGCTCCCCATGACGGAGCATGAGCTGGAGAGTGAGAACAAGAAGTGGGTGGAGTTTGCATGCGTGACATTAAAAAATGAGGTCTACGTCTCAGGTAAGCAGGAGCCACATGATGCCAAAGGAACCCCCAGTGGCACGATGTACTTTCCTGAGTGAGAGCCAGGCCACCATCTTACAAGAATTACTGTGAATGGCAATGGTCTAACTCTGACTGGATCAGCATAGAGAAACCCAGGGGGTCTTATCTGGGAAAGCACATTATTACTTAATGGACATTAACCTGTGAGCAGTATTGTACTAGGATCTGGGGTAGCAGGCAGACAGGTCCAGTCCTTCATGGAAAAGGAAGAAGTAAACTGATACTAGAGTTTATTTGGTGTTTGCTCTAGGTGTAGGGTTCTGAGCTGGTCACTGGGAATACAGTAATGAATAAAAATGTCTGCTCTTCTCCCCAGACCTGAACCTCAGCTCAAGTTTACTGTCATACTTTTAGATGCTCCAGTAGAACATAGTACTTTTTCATTTCACACTTCTTTCTTTCTTTTTTTGAGAGAGAGAGAGAGAGAGAGAGAGAGAGAGAACGTGCAAAAGTAGGGGGGAGAGAGGCAGAGGGAGAGAGACAGAGAAAGAGAGAGAATCCCAAGCAGGCTCCACACTTGGCACGGGGCCTGTTGTGGGCTTGATACAACAACCCTGGGATCACGATGCCAAGTTGAAATCAAGAGTCAGATGCTCAACTGACTGAGCTACCCAGGCACCCCTCATTTCTCTCTTCTAAGTTATTTGCTTAATTATTTGCAATTACACTATGCCTCATTCCCATTAGTCCTTCAATTCTACAAGAGTCAATACTATATTGTCAGTACCTAGTACTGTGCCTAGCTACATAGTAAATAATAAATATTTATTAAGTGACAAAATCTGTACCGTTTTAACAGCACAGTAGGTGAATTTTCACTTTGGTGTCATTTCATCATTTGCCTATCACACCAACTCTGTAAGGTAGGTGATTTTAATCTCCAAGTTACAAATGGAGAAAATGGAGGCTCTGAAAGATTATGGAACATATCTAAAGACAGGTCATACCTTGGTAAATGTCAGACAGGGTTCCAACCCAGGTTCTGTGAGTCCCATCCTCTCCCAATGACATCAAAAGTCACCCAGCTCTTCTGGGAGCCCCAAGGAAGGAGACAAGCATACCTTGTCCTCTCTTGGAGGCTTTTTCTAATCTGAACTTGTTTGGGGAAGAGCTTCTTCGCAGAACTGGCTTCCTCCAAAGTCAAGGGCAGGTCAGTTCTTCCCTGGGTATGTTAATACCATAGATTAGATTATAGCTTTCATTTATCTTGTAGAAGTATTTTTTTGATTGTTGTAGAAGATTCAAATAATACAGGATGTAAAGTAAAATATGGCAGTTTCTCTGTGCTATTACAATCCTATACGTTTTAACTTTTTTACAAAAATAGTTTTATATTGGCTTAGAGTAAGTAATGCCAGCTGCTGTAACAAACACTAAATCTCAGCGAATTATGGCAGTAGTATGTGGGCACTGGGGGGTGTGGACCTCCTCACTCAGTCATTCAGGGACCGAGGTTCTTTGCATCTTATGATGCTGCTGTTTTCCACACGTGGTCTTCAAGTTTGATGCATTAGAGGAAGAAGGAGACACTGAACAAGTTGAGAAAGCATACCTGCTCATAACAACCTCAGCCTGGACATGAGGCATCAGTCTTCTCGCATGCTATTAGCAAGAACTAGCCACGTACTCCCACCCCTGCAGCCCCAGCCCCCATGAGGTGGGCTAGGAAATGTAGTTGAGCTGTGTGTCAGTCTTTGTCACATACACTACACATGTTGTTCTACAACTTGTCCTTCGCCTCACTTAAACTTGTTGTTGTCTATTTAAAAGTGACACTGGGGGCGCCTGGATCGCTCAGTCGGTTGAGCATCTGACTCTTGATTTGGGCTCAAGTCATGATCCCAGGCTCATGAGATTCAGCCCCTTGACAGGCTCCTTGCTGAGCATGGAGCCTGCTTAAGATTCTCTCTCCCTCCTGCTCTTCTCCCCAGCTCTCATGTGCATGCTCTTTCTCTCTCTAAAATAATAATAATAATAATAATAATAATAATAAATGACATGAGCAATACATGAAGTCAATGCTTGTTATACACAGTTAAATCACAGAGATTTGTGCTTCAATTAACAGTCTCTTTTGGGCATCATCACGTGTTGACATAAGGGATCTGTCATGTGGATTAAGTGATGTAATATGTATTACATAAAGCACAGCACAATCCCAAGCACATAGGAGAGCTCAGCAGTGCTATTCTTCATTATTGCTAGTGTTCTTTCCACCAGCTTCAGGGCAGTCTACTGATTGAATGAAATACAGTTTTTTCAGCTTTTATTTTCCCACTGGAAAAAAATGCTGCAATAGGCATTAAAAAAATTTTTTTTCAACGTTTATTTATTTTTGGGACAGAGAGAGACAGAGCATGAACAGGGGAGGGGCAGAGAGAGAGGGAGACACAGAATCGGAAACAGGCTCCAGGCTCCGAGCCATCAGCCCAGAGCCTGACGCGGGGCTCGAACTCACGGACCGCGAGATCGTGACCTGGCTGAAGTTGGACGCTTAACCGACTGCGCCACCCAGGCGCCCCTGCAATAGGCATTTTAATACACATGTATTTATGAACTTGTGCTGCTCTTTGGAGAGATTCCTGGAAGTGGTCATAAGATGTGTCCATTTAGAATTTTTGTAGATGTTACTAAACTGGTACCAGTTTGCAGTTCAACCAACGTTGAATGACATGGCCCATTTTCTTCATCCTTGCTGACATTTTTTTCTTATCAATTACATTTTTTTTCATAGCCCAAAATGTTTATATTTACATTCTTGGATCATTAATGATGTTAGCATATTTTCATATATTTATTAGCTAACACTTTATTTTTGAAAATTATCTATTCTTACCCTTTGTTCTTTATTGGTTGTTTGTCTTTTTAGTAATTTTTTGCAGTTCTTATTCTATGTCCTTTGCTATTTGTATTGCAAATAGTTTCTCTCAGACTATGGTTATCTTTGAACTTCAATTTATATTTTATATAGTAACTTTCTTTCCTATGTGATTCTGCGTTTTGTGTCATGCTTAGAAAGCCCCTCCTCACCCCAAGATCATCAGCATCTCCCATATATTCTCCAGTTACTTTTATACCATTTACTTTTGAATTTTATTTTAACTGTAATGTGAAAGAAGGCTCTAACTTCATTTTCCCCTAAGTAGTCAATTGTTCTAATACCATTTATTTAATGATCCTTATATCTTTCAGTCTGTTCTGTACTCTTGTTTTTCGTTGGTCAGTTTGTCTCATTTGATGCTAGTACCACACTGCTTTTATTATTGTAGCTTTTTAGTATATTTTAATATTTGCTGGGAAAATCCTCCTTGTTCATTCTTTTTTCAAAAGTTTCTCAGACATTTTTCCAAATTTACTCTTCCAAATGAAATTTAGAATGATCTCTTCAAGTTCCCTGAAAAGTCCTGAAGGCACTGAATGTATTGATGAACTTGGGGAGGGCTGACATCTTTACAGCCCTTGTCTGTCCTCTCGTCTATGCACATGTCATGCCTCCAACCTAATCAGGTCTTCTTTACATCTTGAGGTAAAACTCATAGAGTTTTTGTTTCCTTTTTAATACAGTATGCATACATTACTTTGAAAGTATATAGTTATTTTATAACTTTAGACACTGTCGCATTGGGATCAATATCACGCACAGTGTTTTGAATAGAGACCTCTAAAATGCACACAACCCGAGGAAAAAATGGTTGAACTATGTGAACAGAAACTTCATGGAAGAAGAAGCTCAGGAAAAACCAAACCATGGTGTTATTTTTCTCCATCAGCTTGCAAAACAAAATAAGCCAAAAAACGCTCTTAATATATGCTGTGAGTGGGGTATAGGGAAAGGTCAACCAGGACAGCTCTGGTAGGCTCTTTGGCAACACCTATAAAAATTCAAGGTGTGCATGCCTTTCCCTTAGAAATCTCACTTCTGGGCTCTACCTTAGAGAAACATTTACCCAGGACACAGAGCATCATCAGTGATACACATTGCCCCACTAGTGCACATTTATAAGTCTGAAAAGTACATCTTTTTTTTTTTTTTTTTTTAGATTTTATTTATTTATTTTTGAGAGAGAGAGAGAGCAGGGGAGGGGCAGAGAGAGAGGGAGAGAGAGAATCTCAAGCAGGCTCCATGCTCGCAGTGCAGATCCCAATGTGGGTCTCGAACCCACAAACCATGAAATTATGACTTGAGCTGAAATCCAGAGTTGGATGGTTAACCAACTGAGCCACCCAGGTGCCCCTGAAAAGTACATGCTTTGCTTTAAGTAGTTGGTGATACTCTATGCTGATGGGGAATAGAAACACAAAGCTGTTAAAATATTTTTATTAAAATCCCCCCAAAGATCTTGGTCTCTCTCCCTAACTGAATTATGTATTTTCAGAGAGTTGTCTCAAAAAAAAATATTTACCATCTCATTCTCAAATTATCTATTGTGAGCATCTAATTCTTTTATAATAAAATCTTTTAACAATAGGACAAACCCTACTTATGTTTTTTATATAGATCAGAGATTTGAACCAAGACAATTTTGTAAGATTTCTTGGTGATTTTCCCAGGTTTGTATTTGCCTAAACAAACAAGCAAACAGAACTTAAGGTACTTCCTAATTTGCCTGCCGGTCAAGGGCCTCCTATCCCCACTGCAGTGGTCCAACCTTACCTGTCCTGCTTTGCTTCCTACCCCTTGGCTGCACAGACACTGAGTCCAGGTGCCTGCTGGCCCCCATCCACCCAGGCCACTTGGGCGCCACTTCCCTGGAGACTTCTCTGGACCCAATTCACTCAGCCACCTCTTCTCTGAACTCTCACAGCACAGACGTGACACCTAGCACAGTCTGGTACACAATTCACCCCAGCCTCACCTGGCTTTCTCTATTCCCCTATGTTGATTTCCCCATCCAGACCACACACACCTTCACGATTTCTTTTGTTTGGGAGCGGAGCTGACCCGGGGATATAGCATTTAAGGACTGTGGGAAATTATGGGGGAAGCTGTGTTTCTGATATATCTGGTGGCTTCTTAAATGCTCTGTATCTCTTCTAGGTGGCAAAGAGACACAGCATGATGTTTGGAAATATAATTCTTCAATCAACAAATGGATTCAAATTGAGTATTTGAACATAGGCCGCTGGAGGCATAAAATGGTGGTATTAGGTGGCAAGGTCTATGTGATTGGAGGTTTTGATGGCTTACAGAGGATCAACAATGTGGAGACCTATGATCCCTTCCATAACTGCTGGTCAGAGGTATAGCAGATTATTTCTATGAGTAATTTTGTATTATTACTTCAAAGCTTTAAAAAAGAAGTATGTGCCAATGTAGGTATATGGCTTTCTGATCTCTCTGCTCCCACTGAGAACATTTTTGGTGGCTCCAAGCTTCCCTCTTAATAGGAGCCATTGCTTCAGCATTGCTGATCAGGTCAGAGAAACAACTTCCTTCCAGACGGGGAAGCTCTGCGTGGGCACCTGTCTATCCTGGCAAGAAGCCCAGATGTAGAGGGGAGGCTTGGTTCTAACCTCAGTCTGCATGTCTGAGCTCAGAGTCTGTCTCCTCAGATGCCATCCGCCCTTGTTGTCTCCCCAGTGGGCATACAGAGATCCCTTTCCTACACTGTTTACTGATTCAGAGTCATTTGGTAGTGTTTAGAAGTTAGCCCTTGTAATTATGCTAGGTGAATAAACTCCGGAGATCTGCTGTACAACATTGTGCTTACAGATAACAGCACTGCATTGTATGCTTAAAAAGTTGTTAAGAGATATCCTTTTGTAGTTCATAAGTGTGATGATTGGGTCTTCAAACCATTGTGTGACATGTGCCGCCCTCAAACCTTGTTACAACCTTGGCACATTACCTGTCCGATAAAAAAAAATTTGTTAAGAGAGTAGATCTCATGTTAAATGTCATAATAATAATAATGATAATAATAATAATAATAATAAGAGTAAAACAGTTTCACTTCCTGTATTTCCAGGTTATTCTTAATTACAAATTTTCTTTCTCCTTATGAGACTATATGTCAGAGTATGTTCCACTTTGGGGAGTGTAAAACATGGCCATCAGAGGCACAAGCAAAGGTAGCTACATCATCATGGCATCTAACCAAGCAAGACCTGTCAACCTGAAAACTGCTATATAGCCCTTCATATTTTATAGGAGTGTGCCCTACATCTTCTCAACTTGTCAAGTGCCATGACAGCTGCTCTGTGACCCAAGAGGGCCATGTCAAAAGGCAAGAAGCTCTTGGAAGTCCCCTTGAGTGCCCTGGGGTTCACAGGGTAGAAGCACAGGTCTGGCTAAATACCAAAATCTTCATGCTGCCCCAGAGTGGGAGTCTGCTTACCTATGGCCCCCTGAAACCCTTATATCAGCTTTTCTTCCTAGATAAAAGCAATAAGGGCAATGGCACATAGTAGGCACTCAGTAAATATTTTTTGAATGAAGGAACACATGAATGAATAGAAATATGCATGTTTGAGAAAGTATTTTCCTCCAAATAGTGGCTGGTTTCATCTGTATAAGCACTTATTCCTATGTACACCTTCCCTCCCCTGATAGCTGGACTCTGGGAGAAACAGGCTGGAAACATCCAACACTGAACCCGTTCTAGCCTGTCCAGAGCCTGCAGAGAGGGTGGGAACTGAGTGCTTTGACCTCATGTCTCAAGGGGAGTCAAGCCCACAGGCCTTGTGACTTCAGGCAAAGGATGCCCAGGCTTATGTTCTCGAGCTCCTGGCCTGTGTCCTGTGAACCACTGCAGCAGTCTGGGGGCAGTCTGTAGCTGTGTGACTGACAGCTTCTCCTGATGCCCTGTGCCTCCACAGGCAGCACCCCTTCTTGTCCACGTCAGTTCCTTCGCAGCTACCAGCCATAAGAAGAAACTCTATGTGATTGGGGGCGGGCCCAATGGGAAACTGGCCACAGACAAGACTCAGTGTTATGACCCTTCAACCAATAAATGGAATTTAAAGTCGTCCATGCCGGTGGAGGCTAAATGCATCAATGCTGTCAGTTTCCGGGACCGCATCTATGTTGTTGGTAAGTAAATGAATGGCATCTTATTTATCTGAGGTCCGCCACCCATGGAGCCATGGGGGTAGATCAGATAAGGCCCTCCTGGGAACTCACATGGATTCCTGGGTGATGTGGGTGAGGTGGAAAAGGAAGAGAAGGGATTGGTCCAGGCCTTGGTGGGAATTACCTTGTAGTACTACTGGACACAGAGACAGCCCACGTTTAGGGTACATACAAAATAGACCGACAGTGGGGCCCAGTGGAGGAGCCAGAAGTTGCCACAGGAACGAAGTGTGCTGCAAACATTAGCAAATGTGTGAAAATTGAAGTGTGCACAGTACAGTAAGTGACCGATGAATGGTAGCTATCATTATTTCTTATTTTGTGTTCATGGGAATTTTACTCTTTCCACTTGCTCTGGGGCTCTGAAAAGTTGCATTTAGCCACAAGGAAAGCCTGGCTAGCCATACCACAGTTGGTATGGAATTGTTAAGGACGACGGATCTCAATACCAACTACTCATTAGAATCACCTAGGGAGCTTTTTACAAAAATATGCATAGCTAGGCCCTATTCCAGAGCAATTATATCAGAATGAGAGGGAGCATGTTGGTCTACGGTACAAGGTGTTTCTTTTTTTTTTAATTTTTATTTAATGTTTTACTTATTTTTGAGAGAGAGAGAGAGAGACAGAGTATGAGCAGGGGAGGGGCAGAGAGAGAGAGAGAGGGAGACATAGAATCTGAAGCAGGCTCCAGGCTCTGAGCTGTCAACACAGAGCCCAACGCCGGGCTTGAACTTGTGAACCTCGCAATGGTGACCTGAGCTGAAGTTGGACATTTAACTGACTGAGCCACCCAGGCGCCCCAACAGTGCAAGGTGTTTCTAATGTGCAGGTGACTTTCATGTGCAGCCATGACTGAGAATTACTGATTAAGGAGATGCCAAAAATATGTAACTTCAGCAAACAAGAACTAATCAGAGCAGGCTTCCTGGAGGCAGAATACAGGAACAGATTAAGGAAAACCCCCTTCTCTCTCTTGCTTCAGGTTTCCTGTGTGTTTATGGTCAGCCTCATGACTTCAAAGCTCATCTTAAAATGGGTAACTTGGGCTGGCGTCCCAGGTCATGCTCAGTCTACAAAGAGACGCCACCACCTCTAGTCACTGCCATGTATCGATAGCTTCTGTGTACCAGGCTTTCTGCAGGTGCTTTATGAGCATGGTCCTTCTGACGTCTTACAACCACCGCAGCCTCAGTGCTTATGGTTACAGTAAAAAAGTGGCAGAGCTGGGGTCGTGAGCTGAGTGCCCCAGCTGTACCAGGCGGTATTTCTTCTAGGGAGCAGTCTTAGGATACATTTTGGCACCACGTGAAGCCAGTCCTGATTAGCGCCTGGCAGCAGAGTTTAAGGGGCTCTCTGAAGTGTTTCCAGCACAGACATACTGTCCCTAGAATCCATTAGAGCTTTCTGGAGAGCCGTGAAGCTCCTGTTTCCATTGGCGAGATGGTAGATTTGACCTAGCAGAAGTGGGCTTTTTGTGGTTAAAGGGGAAGAAAACCAGAAAAAACAGTGAGATGCCCACCGTGTTTCCCTTCCTCCTCAGGAGGGGCTATGAGAGCGCTGTACGCCTACAGCCCTCTGGAAGACAGCTGGTGCCTGGTGACCCAGCTCAGCCACGAGAGGGCCAGCTGCGGCATCGCGCCCTGCAACAACCGGCTCTACATCACTGGGGGGCGGGACGAGAAGAACGAGGTCATCGCCACGGTGCTGTGTTGGGACCCCGAGGCCCAGAAACTGACGGAGGAGTGTGTCCTGCCCCGGGGGGTGTCGCACCACGGCAGTGTCACCATCAGGAAATCTTACACCCACATCCGGAGGATCGTGCCCGGAGCCGTGTCGGTGTGACTGCGGGAGGGCGGAGCCACGGGGGCGCGGGGCGAGGTGCCAGGAGACCTCCCTCCTCACCTGTTGCCCGGGTTCGTCCCACTTCAGACAGCAGGCTGGGCTGGAGCTACAGGCCACACACCTGGGTTCCCCGCTGCTCCGCATGGGAGCTCCTTTTGGAAGTCACAGCTTTGGGACACCAGCCAGGAATGTTTGTGCGACCTACCTCAGGAGGGAAGAAGAGTAATATGTAACATTCAGGACAGACCTGTCCCCTGCCAGGTTCTGTGCCAAGCACTTTTGTGTATCAATTTGTTTAACCACCATACTGACCTGGTCACTGGACATTATCACTTCTGTTTTACAGGTGAGGAAACTGAGTTTCAGAGAGGCGAAGTACTTTGTCCCTGGTCACCCAGATTATAAGTAGCTAAGCCAAGAGGCTAACTCCAGGTCTTTTCAATTTCAAGGTCAGTGACGGTTCTGTCATGCTGCCTATTTCTGCATAGGAAAACAACAAACTAAACTGGCTCATTTTTTGTTTCTGACAAGTTTGCTGAAGGATTCACTCAGCAAGGTGGGGAAATAAAGTTTTTTGTTTTTCTTTCTTTTTTTTCTTATATTTAAACCACATGGAATCCTTGGTGTTAGAGCCTTGGGCTCCTTGTCAAGAGGGTTTCAAGTGTTGTTCCATCTGACAGCACTGGAAGATGGGTCTGGGAAGACCTATATGCTTTGAAAGAGATAAAAAATAACTTCTCACCCATCAAAACCTCTTTTTTTTTTTTTAATGATCACAGAGGTGCATTTTGAACTAGAACTCTTGTTGCCACACACAATTGTACCTTCAGCAGAGTCCAGTGCCCCGGCCTCTCAACGTCCAACACTTGTACAAGGGGTTTCCCAGAGACTCAGAATACTGTTTTTGTTGTTGTTTTTAAATTTTTTTTTCAACATTTATTTATTTTTTGGGACAGAGAGAGACAGAGCATGAACGGGGGAGGGGCAGAGAGAGAGGGAGACACAGAATCGGAAACAGGCTCCAGGCTCCGAGCCATCAGCCCAGAGCCTGACGCGGGGCTCGAACTCATGGACCTCGAGATCGTGACCTGGCTGAAGTCGGACGCTTAACCGACTGCGCCACCCAGGCGCCCCTGTTGTTGTTTTTAATGTAAACATCCCTACACTGCTGGCCACTGCAAGAATGACTGACTCTTGACAGTATACTTTCTGCTTTTTAGACTGTGACTCGAGTCCATGTCCCTGAGACCCCACCCTCCTGGAACCTTAGTTTTCAGGATCCTTTCAAGCCCTTCTGTTTGGTTTTTGGTTCAGTTTGGCACAATTTTGACTCAAGGAGTGGAGTCTGTCCTTCGCTCTGATAGAGCTTTCCAATGAGCTCACTGGAAATTCATTCTAATCCCCAAGTTGGGGAAACAGATTAAGAGATCCTATTTCATGTGCTGTACTTAAAGAGCAACAACAATGATAGCAACATAGTAACTGTATTACCCAATGCGTTTTATTTTCATCATATGATTTCAAATCTCTTTAATAGAGTTTTATTTCATGTCAGAGGCAGCACATTGTGCCTGTACTTCTGGAACAGTTTGGGCAGTAGCGGTTTTAGAGTTTATAGTGAGTTGAATTTTCATAGAAAAGTTATGGTTAGAAGAAGCTTAAAGTTCCAAGCTGATAAAAAAGGACTTGGAACATTACAAATGAGATTTCTGTGTATGCTTAGATCATTGAGGATAAATATAAACACATGTTGGTGTGTGAAAAGCTCTGTGCCTTAGAATCAGGTGTGACAGTTCAGCTCCCTGCTACAAAAAGTAGGAAGGGAAAATACAAACATATCTGGGGACATTTAGAACACATTACAGTACGTGATGTACTTACTCATGAGCACTAATAACCTTAACAAAGCTTTCAACTGAAACAAGTTAATCTAGTTCCATTTAGCAGACATTCAAGGAGTTCTTTCTGTTTGTCAAGACTTTGGGACACAAACAGGTAAGATAACCACCCCTGAAACATTCAATAAACAGGTAAACAGGCCACTAGTCAACATTATAGTTTTTCTTTTCATCAAGTTAGAGAAAAATGATACATCTGCAAAGTTTTGAGGTTACACCCACTTCTTTATTGCCCTTCCAGTGCTCTTCTTGGGAAGCTGTGCTCTTAGGTCAATGATGCGGCCATCGCTTACATACTTGACTTCCTTTGAGATAGTCTTCAGAAACCATTTATGAGTTATAGGAGCAATCGTTTTCTGAAGATGATTTCAGGAAGAACTTCCAAAAAGTCTATCCAATGACAACATCAGTGGCATTTGCAGAGAGCTCCCCTCAGAAAGAGAGTGCTCCTTGTCATCGAGAACTTTTGTTAAGAACAGTTGGCAAATTTTGTGCCCATCAGCGGATCAGCCTTACTCTGGGAAAGTGAGGATTCAAGACCTCTGTGTTATAAATCTGCTTCTAACTGCAGGACCCAAGTTTCAGGACTAGTTCAGAAAATGTAAATGAAGTCAAGGAAAGGATTCTGTGTCATTTTTCATTAAATATTTATTTTTGAGACAGAAAGAGACAGAGCGTGAGTGGGGAAGGGGCAGGTAGAGAGGGAGACCCAGACTCCAAAGCAGGCTCCAAGCTCTGAGCTGTCAGCACAGAGCCAGAGGCAGGGCTCAAACCCACAAACCGGGACATCGTGACCTGAGCCGAAGTCAGATGCTTAACAGACTGAGTCACCAGGTGCCCCAGCTTCTATGTCATTTTAATGTCACTAGATATGCAGGTCAATTGTAAAATCTCAGATGCCTGGCCCTCAAGAGAGATCCTCAATAATGGCATGGGTTGGCAGACAGATACACCTGTTAAGACGACACAGAGTCCTGCACTTAAGGCTGCCAGTCAGTAGCTTTTAGGGAAATAAGAGTTCAAGTAATTCAGAGAAACTTTATAAGCGTGTCAGGATTTAAGCTTTTAGGCACTAGCCAAGGATGGAAGCTCTTAAAATCTAATTTCCATTTACAGATAAACAATCAATCGAAAAATCTAGTTTGTGTGATTGTCGTATCCATACCACCATCGGGGGATGAGGCAAATTGGCACCAGATGAGTAAGAGGCAAAGGGCCCTAGGACTGAGGAAGGGTATGTGGAACATCCTGGCATAACACAATGGATCTTGAAGCAGGTCATGTGAATGGACAGAGCATCCCTGTCTGGGAGGAAAAGGATGAGGTAGGAGGAGGAAGACAAGGTCAGGTTTAAGGATACAGGTCTAGAAAATGATATCATGGTCCCTAGAGTTTGTGAGCATGACTGCATTCTAGAGAAGGGTAAGGGAAGAATAAGGAACAGAGGTTTCAGGGAGTGGCTTCCAGGAGAAGAAAGGCACAAATGAGAGCAGGACTGGCAGCCAGACCCACTTGTTGGGGGGGGGGGGCGGGGGTTGCCTCTGAGCTTCTTGGCAGGGTCTTCTATTTTACTGCACTTAAAGAGAATGAGGCCCAGAGGCTCTGATGGGATGGAAACTGTAGGAAAGGTTAAGGGACCCTAGTTCCCACAGCTGATCTGAAATGGGCAGGGAGCTGGTCTCACCTGAACATCAACAGATACATGTTCTCTTCTTAGCCTTCCCCACATCTTGCAATCAATGACTTCAGGAAACACACACACACTCACTCACATTTTGCCCTTGAACTCAAACCATTTCTCAGGGAAATACAAATATCATTTGCTTATAGCTGTGAAAGTATAGCTTTGCTATTTATAAAAGCACTTGAGGTACTGTTGTTATTTATATATCCTACTTGATTTTGAAAAAGAAAAGTACTCATTAGAATTTTCAGAGTGGGCAAATACCACAGGAATTTCCTATATAAGGTCCTAACTTGGGGTTGAAAGTTCATTTTTTCCTTTAATATTTGATTTGAGTGTTGTATTGGATCTCATAATCTGAAGAGTCAATCTTCATGGAAATCCACAAATATCTCAAGTATGGCTATTGCAAAACCAGTTTTGGCAGGCTGAATATTCATATTTATGGGTAAAAATAGTCAACACTTAGTTGGCTAAGTCCTTCAAGCATTTTGGTTATATGAATCTGTATTTTTTTAAATGATCAAACTAAGGATATTGTTTATATGTAAGTATACAAATAAAATTTGTATTTATTCAATAATGTGTGTGGAATGGATTAGATGATGTTATATACAATCACTAGGTGAATTTTTTTTTTTGCTTGTTTTGGCTGATATGAGTTAGTGGTATCTGAATAGAAATTAATTTATGAGGTGGAAATTTAAAACATTTCATTTGGTTCAAGAGGGTTTCAATAAAATCATAGGATAGAATTGATCAGAGGTGGTCTATGGAATGGCAAAAATTAGATAGCTTTTACCTCCTTAAAGTCTCGTTGCCTCTGAGCATGCTTTTTACCAACGCACTTGCAAACTATGACTCTTATTTTGCCTGCCTTATCCCTTCTTACAAAAGCCACCTTCTAGGCTTCTGATTTCTGACTCTTAACCCTGTCTTCACCAGTGTCACTGTGTTGTTTCTGAAGCCTTAACCAACCTGTGTGTCTCAAATCAGGGCACAGGGAACTTGGCATAAGAGACAGTGAGCTGTACTTTTCGGCCACTGGAGAATTTGTCATCAATTTAGTTTGTTTTGGATTACAATACAAAGATCCTATGCCACTGAAATGGAGAATCTGAAGTTTTAAAGAAATGTGGGGTCACATGAATAGCTTTAGACCATTCCTCCTGGGCCTCCCAAGAAATAGAGGTTCTGGCTTATCTGCTCCAGGGACTCTGGGTGGAAAACCTTGGGAAGCATAGCCCCATCTCACCGGTGGGAAGTGTTCTAGAGTTAATCCTGGGCAATAGATCTGACAACCAGTGCACCAGCTGTGGGTCAAAATGGAGTTTTGACCTTACATTCACTGCTGATCCCTCCAGTTCCCCTGCTGCGTCTAAGTAAGTGGCAATCTGATGCCTGGGCATCCTGGCCAGGGCCTGGCATCTGCCCAACTCTCCTTGGCTCCTTTCCTGCTCTTGGTGTTCCCTGCTGGTGTGTGGCATCCTCTGGACCAGCCTCCTTTTCACTGGAGATGTGGCCTTCATATAGGATCTCTATTCTCCCCTGCCTTCTATGGGCTCATGTCTCATTGTCTGTCCCCTTGGTGCTGGGAACTGATTTGGGTTAGGTCCCACCCACTCCCAAGCTGCCCAGTATCAGCCTGCCTGATTACCAGTCACTCCGGTTTTCACTTCCATGTTTGTTTTGAACACCTAGGGATTTTCCTTTTCTTCTTGCATGCTTAGATGGCTCCTTTGTTTTGGTTCCTGCATGGCAGGCTACCTGGACACCCATGCCTGCCCCATCCAGTCATCCATCTGGGTCCCCAACGTGCTGTCTCCCTTGGGGTCTCCAAGCATAGAACCCTCATTACCCTTCTTGTGTTGTCCTCTAGCTATCCCAGCACCAAAGCATCTCTAAGGGTCTCCTGATTTCTGAAGTTTGGACAAAGAGCAAAATAAGATATGAGACTTCCTGGCTACATATTCTTTGAGATGGTTTGTGGGTAAGGAAACTTTCCTTTTCCCTTAGTAAAACTAACCCGGATCCTCCAAGTTTGGCAGTGGAGGGAGAAACTCCCCGCGGAGACAGAGGGTTGGATCTCATAGTCCCAACTGTTGTCCCTATAAGGAAAGAGTCCTATACATGGCTCTGAATTTCCCAAAGGACATTGCAGACCAGGCTGGAACAGCTGAATAAGACTTTACTGATGACTGAGAGATGATATAGGGAAATAAGGACAACAAGGAGCAACGCTCTGGACAACGAGGATAAGATTCAGCTGTCCTTGAAAAGCAGTGTTATCCATAGGAGGTGTGTGTGTGTGTGTGTGTGTGTGTGTGTGTGTGTGTGTGTTCACGTGTGTGTGTACATGCTGTCAACAATAAAGCTGGACATAGTTAAAATGGAAAAAACAGATTTTATCCAGTAACTACTGACAGTAGAGAAAAGAGCTGAGCCCCATTCTGATTTGTGCACAGCTGACTAGGTGCTTTAAAGGGAAAATTGAGAAGGGGAGGGGATGGGGAGCTGGTGGGCACCGAAGTAAAGGCCGGGATGTGAAAAATTACAAAACATTGGTCAGTAAATGTGATTATTCCAGCTGTCTGCTGGCTGGCAGTGTTGAACTTAGGGTTGTATCCTCCCACAGAGACTGGCAGCCAGGGGCCCTGTACTTCCAGATTGTTACATTCAAAGGATGACTTTCAGGTCCTTGAGAAAGACATGCTGGGCCATAAGAGATACATACGTATATCTCTCAAAGGAACAGAGGAAGGGTTTACAATCCTAAGCCCTTTTTAGTAAATGCCCTAAGAAAGGGAGGTTAGGGGCCTATCATCAGGTATTGGTTAGAACAGATGGCAAATTCTTTTGACAGTCTTGACCTTTTCCAGACAGATACATAAAAGGAGGGCTGGTTCACCCCGGGGATGTGTTCTTAGGCAGCCATCCTAGGGTTGATCAAGTCTGTTAATGCAAGAGTTTGAATGGAGTGTTCACGCAAAGAATTTTTGCCATTTTCAGTGACCCAGGTATATTTGCTTCATGGAAGAGATACAATTAAAGGAATAGGTGTGCTCACCACTTGTACTGCTGGTGGGGATATTTTAAGAGTGAACTGCCCATTTTCTGCAACTTAACACAAGCCCACTGTGAGACCAGGAGTGCCAAAACCCCTCCTTCTAGAATATTCTAAAGACAACTAAAGAGAAAAATAATACTAAAACTTCTTTCAATGTACATAGGCCAGAGTGGTGTTCTAAAACATTTTGGACTATGTCCCGCAGTTTCAAAATGGAAACATTTTCAATATTCTCTGTTCTGTTTTTTAAGTTTTATTTATTTATTTTGAGAGAGAGAGAGAGAGAGAGGAACTCAAGCAGGCTCCACACTGTTAGTGCAGAGCCTGATGTGGGGCTCAGTCCCATGAACTGTGAGATCAAGCGTCAGATGCTCAACCTACTGAGCCACCGAGGTGCCCATCTATTCCATTTTTTTAAAGTTTTATTTATTTATTTTGAGAGAGAGACAGAGCAGGGGAAAGGCAGACAGAGAGGGAGAGAGAGAATCCCAAACAGGCTCTGTGCTGTCAGTGCAAAGCCCAGTATGGGGCTTGAATTCACAAACTGTGAGATCATGACCTGAGCTGAAATCAAGAGTCAGATGCTTAACTGACTGAGCCACCCAGGCGCTCCTATTCTATTTTCTCTTAAAATGCTGTTCACAACTTATTAAGGTAATTTCATCACCTACCCATGGGTCACAAGTCACAACAAGCCACATCTGAAAAATACAAGGTGTCTGGGCACAAACTTAGACAAAGACAGGGCAGGGGTGAGGGAAGAGGCGGTTGACAAACCCTTGGTTTAACACTTACAACAGATACCAGAGGGAAAAATCTTGAGTGCACGAAGAAACCCATGTGACTGACTTTGTAGGTAATAGTCTATTCTTTTATAACAAAAGTATAGTAATGGTAGCATCTATTGTGTAATTTCCCAGAAACATGGCACACAGCCAGAAATAGTAGACGAGGCTGGGATAGTGACAAAACCAGTCTAGGAAGGAATGATGGGGTTTTTCATGATCAAAGTGCATCCTGGTAGAATGTTGCATTCCCAGAAAACTTCAACCTAGAAACCTGGAGGAAAACAATACATTAGGCTTTGTTCTGGCTGAATCATAAATAGACATTGGTTGGAGGAAGTAATGGGGTTGGTCTTTGTGAAACAATGCCGCAAATGTTTATTGAACACCTACTATGTGCCAGGCACAATTCTAGGCACTAGGGCTCTACATCCACAAATAAAACAAAGCTGCTGCTCTCAAAAGCTACCATTCTAGTGAAGAAAGGTCACAACGAAACAAGTATATAAATACGCCAAGTAGTGATAAATGCTGGAAAAGCAGGGTAAAGGGTACACCTGCTACTTTAAACAGGGTTAGCAGATGTACTTTCTGATAGAGACAGTTATGTAGAAATTTGGGTGAAGAGAAACTGCGATGCCTGTGAATATCTGGAGGAAGCATGTTCCAAATAGAAAAAACAGCAAAAAAACAAAAACAAAAACAAAAACAAAAACAAAACAACAACAACAAAAAAACAAAAACAAAAAAACAAACAGAAGGAACAGCCAGTGCAAAGGCCCCAAGGCAGGAGGCTCAGTGTCTTTGAGAAACAGTAAAAAGATCTGTGTGGTTGGAGTGAATTCTGAGCGATGATAAGGAGTCTCAAGGCCACTGTAAGCACTTTGTATATGATCAGGTAAGATGATCAGTCACAAGACAAGTTTAGAAATACTAAAGATTCACCAATGTTACATACTCAAGCTTGTGGCTTACACATTCAACTGTGCTTCATTTACGGTGGCAGTTAGCAGCTAGGATCTGCTGAACGCACGGTTTTTGTGAATCCAGCAAACATTATGCTCTTTCTCCAAATCCTTGGTCTTTCTGATCCTGCCCTGTGCACTCACATCAAGGTGGGCTGGGCTGACTCTCGCAAAGGCCTAGTTACCGGAGCCTGGGGGGTGGGGCTTGGGGAAAGCCACTCAAATAACTAAGATCTTTACCATTCCCTGCATAAATAAAAATGGCAGCACTCATGCATGGACATCCTGGTAAGAAGACCACTGGTGATGATATTGGTGGGGCGGGTCAAGGGGGATGGAAATAAGAACTTTTAAAGTCAGTGGCCCCCAGAAAGCCTAGATGATATTTGAAAACCTCTCATCAGTAGCCCAAACTAATGTGGACTGTGATTCAGCATGTTTAAAAACAAGTAAAAATCCTTAGTGGTTAAGTGCAAACCAACAATCTATTTAAAAATCTCTGTAAAATGTGTGGCAATTCACATTTTAGAAGTTAGATGCTAAAAGCATTCTTTCCAGATGACTTTAGAGATTGTGTCTTCCCAGACGGTGGCTGGAATCTTCAGTAGGAACCAAAGCTGGAGATGAGGTGCATTAGACTGTTCCAATGTTGTCACCAGCCTCCCTGACTCCCAAGGGGAGATATCATAGAGGCTGGATTTTTCTGGCCTTTGTAACTACAGCATCTTACATAGAACCTGTCGCCCGGCAGAAATAACGTACGGGGTCGGGTCCTGAGGAGTTGTCACCACAGCCGTTACCACCACCATAATTGATCACCTCCCAGACACTGTAAACCACTGATATCTTTTGTTTGGACTGTGCAATATTTCTAAAAATTGGCAACACTGGGGGGCACCTGGGCAGCTCAGTTGGTTAAGCATCCAACTTCGGCTCAGGTCATGATCTCGTGGTTCATGAATTCAACCCTGGCATCAGGCCCTCTGCTGTCAGCATGGAACCCACTTTGATTCCCCTGTCCCCCTCTCTCTTTGCCCCTTCTTCGCCTGCTCTCTCTCTCTCTCAAAAATAAATAAACATTTTTTAAAAATTGGCAATACTGGGGCCATATTTCTACTTAACAAGTGTCTGGAACAGAACAGGGGATGTTCTCTTTAGAAAGGGGCTGTGTTTTCTAGTTTACCAGACTCCACTGACCCGCTTGGCCCCAGATGCATTTGAATTTGTAGCTTCTGACATATACTATCTTGTTTAACCCTTGCACCAACTCTGTGAAGTAAATTGGTGCTTTATGGATGTGAAAACAGGCTCAGAGATGTTGAGTAACTTCAAAGGGTCAGGGCTGGACACAGGTCTGTGAGTTTCCGAAGCTGGTGATGCTTCTGCTATGCCCACTGCTGCTTGTGAGGAGGGCCCATATTGAATGCAGTGATGACATGGGACCCATGTAACTCCATGATTGTTTGATTTGAGGATTTAGATCATGTATGTCACAATTCCAGAGTCACCCTGAAAAATATAGAAATCCTTATGGCTAACACACTATGTGGTCTGTGCAAAGCCAGAGACCTCTAACAAAATAACAAGGGATTGGAGATGACTTTTAAGTTGACTTCCAGCCCTGATGGACCTCCCTGCGGAGGAAGGACTGCACTTTTAAAAGGTGTCCACTTGGGGGCGAAATATGATAATGAATTCCTTAGTTACACCATGGTGATGGGGCACAGCCAAAGACTCCCAGGGTTTATTGTCTTAAAAGGGAAGGTCTGATGGGAACTGCCAAGCCCCAAGTCTCTGTCCTCTCCTTCTAGTTCTCTGCCAGGCGTCCTGCCTCAGAATGAGGTATTCCTTAACCTAAAATTGGCAATCTTTAGCACATATTCTCAGTACTAAAGCATAACAGCATCATTTCCTTAGGTGTTTTACAGCAGTTGCTTGTTGCTTTGCAAGAAAAATGTGGGAGTGGGGTCAATCTCCCTCTAATGAATATTGATTTCCCTAATATAAAACTTATGTCCCAATGCTCTATTTCCTTGCTTTTCTGGACACGGTAACTTTTTGTTTCCGTGCCAAATCATAGCATTATTATCTTGAAGTCATTTCTTAGAAAAGCCTAGTTGAGATATAACTGGCATACAACAAACTGTACATCTTTAAAGTGTACTATTTGGGG